CGCTGAGCTTAGCTGACATAAATATTCTCAGAAATGTAAGTTTACGAGCTCCATGTGCTCACAGATACGGTATTTTAAATGTGCTAAGAGCAACAATACAGAGCAATGTAGAGTTGAATGGGAAATCTCTAAAGCTAAAAGCCCAATTTGCTCCAATGCAAAGTAAAGGTCTCCACGTCAGCCGTGGCAAACACACATTGGCTGCATTAAGGAATTAAGGCTTTTAGTATACGTGGTTATGAATGTAAACAGATATAAACCTAAAAGCTTCTGCAATGCCTACCTGAAGCTCTGCTGTATTTTGCCACAAATACCTTGTTGGGGCAGAAGCAATTAGTGCAAGACTAACGCCCTAATAATAAGACTTTGGAAAGCTCTGATTGACTATAACTGCAGAAGGGATGCTGGGGCAGAACTGTTACTGCAAAATAGGGCACGTGCTTTTTGTAATGGAGTAGTAAAGGCAATTAAACGTGTAGTGTGCTAATGAGTCAGCCTGGAGATGCTTATAAACTAGGTGGTCAAGGTGCTTGCTACTAAAATATCACTACCAGATATTAGTGAAATATCAGGCTGTGATATTCAAGACACTGGCAGAGTTCATTTCTGATGACATTACATGTTTAAAGAAATTGTAGTGTTTTAGGAGATTAAAACATTCAGGGTATATTGCATAAATTTTAGTTAATGGAAATAGCTTACAGAGGTGTGAATCAAATTAGACAGTTTAAGGATGGACTCTAGAGGATGCACTAACCCAAGTCTATTGTTTGGTTGGTTCTTTCCAGCTAGAAAGGCTGACTATAAATGCCAAAAGGCTTATCAGGCAATAGTAATAAATAGTGTTAAATTTTTGTCTTGCTGTTACAACTCTGTAAATAGTCTCCATGATACAATTTAATAACTTTCATATCATCATTTCATTTGATGAATTCTGAATAACTGGCCAATTTTTGGCCCAATGACCAGCACACAAATCACCCAGTGTTTATTTCATAGTGACTTGTGAAAAAAATATAAAAATAAATCTAACTGATTATATGTTAATGTGCAATGTATATTTTCAACTAACGGAATACAATATTTGAAAAGATACTGGGTGAACAGAGGAAATGGCTTAGCTTATTGAATAACATTATGCATTGCAAATTACTTTTCCAGCTCTCTTCAGCACTATACCTTTATCTCTGAATGGAATGGAAGACATGCATTAATATTCAAAAACAACACAGGGCATTAGATATTATATATCACTATACAGAAGTTTCAGAAATATATTACTTTAAAGGGGATAATCAAAGAAAGCTTATCAAAAAGCTAATCAAAAGGAATATTTAAAGGTACCTTGATCATGATCCATAGGTACGTATTTGGGGAGAAGATAACAAGTGCTAGAAGATCTTTAAGCTTTCGAAGATGAAAGCATAATATAAATTGCTGGAAGTTAGTACTGGACAAATGTGATCTCAATTTATTAACTGGGGAGGAAAAAAGAGAGACAAACATGCCTCAAATCATCTTTTGGAAGGGAAATGGTAGATACCCTAATATTAAACTCTCTAAATTGAGATTGAATAACTTTCTCAAAGGCACTCTTGGCTTCACCTCTTATTTATTGGTGCTGATGCAGGAAGGCAAGAGTGAAATTCTGTGGTGTTTTTATGCAGGAAGTCAGATCATTCACCATTATGAGCCCATCTGGCCTTAAAAAATCTATGACAGTACAAATCTTGCAGTGCATCTGAGAGGACTACTGAATAGATGACTACCAAAGAAGAAGAAATGTGTGAGAGTTAACAGTGAGGAGTGGAGAGAAAAATATTTGAGGATGCTTTAAGAAGAATTTTAAGAAAAAGGATGCTTGGCATTTGATGTCAGGGATAGAAGTGAAGTACAAAACATACATCAGGAGAAGGAAACAAAAGGAGATGAAAGATTAAGGAAGATTGCTCTGAGCATGAGGAATAGATCAAGAGAGAAAGACAATGATCTAGAAGTAAGATAAATAAATAATAAAGAGCTTTGCATATGTCAATTAAAAGCTTGAATTTTGTGCAGTAGAAAAGTCAGTGAAGGGAAAAGCCTCTTTCAGAGAGGATTTTTCCAAGAGAAAAAAAAATCACAGAAATAAAGGTAGTCAATAACACCCAAGAAGTTTCATATACGTGACCAATTGATCAAAGCAAGGAGTGACAGATCTTTAAGCTTTCCTCATCTGAAAATTTTTCTTCGCAAAAGTGAAAGACAAATTGTCCTGTTCAGCATCTCTTCCCTTCCTCCTCAGAAAATGTAGCTCACGCTTGTGAGGCAACCTTGCAGAGCTCTGGGGAAGAGGAGCAGTGAGCAAGAAGCGCGTGCATCAATAGCTGTTGCTTTGGTTACAAAGGCACATGAGCATATATGGTCGTGACAAGTTATTTTCAGCTTTACACAGTGAAATAGAGAGAATATTAATAAAAAGGTTGATGCTATCTCTGCTTGGTCTCTCCGTGGTAGAACATCCCAGTGCAGTGTCACGTTCTCTATCATACTGCATAATTGTTGCTGTGTGCGTTAATGACATTGAAGTTGCCCTTGATGCTGAATGCATAGAATTCATCAGTGCAGGAAGGAGGTGCTGGGAGATGTCTTCACAAGCTGTGTTTCTTAAGTGCTAGCTATTAACTTGAGTGGGAGCAGTACTGGGCCCCCAGCTGCCTGTACTGCATGTGTCAGCATACAGATACCACTGAATCCTTAGCCTAGCCCACGCTCTAGCATACGCATAAAAGGCACAAAATTGCAGAGCAATCTATGTCTCCCAGTGAAACCAAGCACGATGGGGGATCAAACAAATGGTTAGATCTCTACCGACACCTCCAAACTTCTGCAGGCAAAGACAGTAATTCAGGTTCAGGTGAAAGAAGCAGAAAAGATGTGGTAAGAGAGAACACAAACAGCGTGGTAGTGCCTCTTGGCACCACCGTGGTGCAGAGAAGTCTCTGTGTGAGCTCTCCATCAGCAACAGAATGAGCTCTGAACTGAAGCAGAGATTAATCAGTTAATCACACTTTCAAAATCCTTTGGCCCTTTCTATTTTTAAGATGATGCAATTGGCTAGAAGTGATTCAGTACTAACATTTCATCTGGTCTGGGTAATTCCCATCGTAGCTTGTGGTTCCAGATCCACAGCTTCTGGTTCAGACCCAGTGAGAAGGTATCTTCGTGGATCTTGTCCTTCACAATGTTTTTTTCTAGTCTTGGTTGCATAGCAGGACACTCTGCACTCCTGGGTGAGGGGACAGCGGTGACAGCTCCTTCTTTAAAGGTTAAGGCTTTGAAGCTTCATGGCCATGACATCAAGAGGGGGAATCAATGGAGACCAGTGTTAAGAGACAAAAAAAGATATTCTATTCGAAGAAATGACCCCTTCATAACACCTGTTTGTGAACTCCAGGTTTTAAACGAGTCTGACCCAGTAGGGGAAAAAAAAATCAAACTATTCTATACAGAAGAAATTCTCTGCTGGAAAGCACATAAGAAGGTTCACAGACACTGCAAACACTAGCCCAGTAGGTAATTCTCTGAATGAGATGCACTTTGCACTCACAGCAGTACTGATATTCAGCAGCTCCCAGCCCTGAGATTTATTCCATTTTACCAATAAGAATGCAACTAATAATAGTTCAAAAAAGGAAGAATTTTATGTGCAAAAGTAAAAGACAAGATTTTGATCTTTATTACTCTGGCTTCATTCAGACCTATTTTGCACTACTTCCCATACCACAGTACAAGGACAAGCCCTCTTGTTGCCAGTGATATTCTCAACAGGTTAAACCCCAAATAAGTGGGAACAGAATCAGGCTCCAACTTTTTATTAAAAGGGACATGCATTATTTCTCTATTTTTATTAAACATTTCTACCAAGTTACCAAAGTAACTTGTTCTTGGCGTCTTCCATCTCATCAAAGAGCAGTCCATGAAATGATCCTTTGAGAGCTGTGCCAGTTGTAAGACAAAGCCTGTGGAATGGTTGTATGAACCCAAATTAGCTCTGAGAAGAACCACAAGTCGAACTGAACCAAAGAGAGTAAGGACAGTTCGTAAGTTGGTTTGGTCAAGATAATACCTTTGTGGTTTTATTTATTTATTTATTTATTTATTTATTTATTTATTTATTTTCTATATGCCTGCTGTCACTGCCACAAGACTAGACTAGGAACGTGAGTCTGGGAGGCCTTTCAGTGTCTGAGCCTGTGACAGATATACTCCTTTCCCAGCTCAACCTGGCCTGTACCTCTGAAATGGGCTTTGGTTGCATCAGTACTCTGTGATGGTTGGGACACAGTCTGGAGCCATTAGCTCCTGTAGCAATGAACTCCTACCAGCAAAAGGTTCATCATCCATTCACCCTCGAGTTTGTGAGAACTCTGCTTAGAGCAGCCGGAGCTACTCTTAAACTCAGTTTTGTGCTGATGTGGCTGAACCGCTAACTCAAATAGGAAAGTTTCACTCAGGAGACAAGTCTCATTGAAGTCAATGGCCTACTCCCCACATAAGTAATCGTTGTAGAACTAGGGTCTTAACTAGTCATCCTTCACAGAGCACTTTAGGTTTCTCTGAGACCATTTGTTATGGTCTTCCCTCCCTGCTCCTTCCAGTTGAAGAGTTTGGAAAGGTGTCAGAGGATTACTATCATGCAAATTGCAAAAGAAAAGTGTCACTAAGGTAGGAAGGCTTCACAAAAAAATAGCTTTGGGGACCGTACAGTATCTAGAATTAAATTTTATAGTAGTCCATAAAATTGAAGTATGAGCCAAGGGTTAACAACCTTGAATTTTGCCCTTAAAATTAGTCCAAGAAAATCTACTTCATTATAAATACAGTAGTACTATATAGTGTCCTGTTGATTGATATGCCCAAGAGCTACCTTTGTCGGCAGTCTTTTAAGCAGCAATCCTTCATTTTGGTCTTAATAGTGAGATAGGCACCTCCTTCCTAGTTGGGCTATCAATTTTTACCTGCCAATACAGTTTGATGAGCTTGCTTATGTGCTGCTCAGTGCCTCCTGACAGCCAGTACATATAGTCAGCAATCATAGCGCTCCTGGTGACAAAAGCAGAATAAATGAGTGTATAGGGATGGAAGAATGCATATAGCAATATTTAAAGGAGATAACATTAAAAGATTGTAGCATGAAGTTTCTAACAAAAGATTACACATACCATTCAATCTTTGTCCAATTTTAAGACAGACATTAGTATCATTTTTAGATATCTAAACTATGTGCAAGTGAACAGCCCTAATTTTTCTCTTTGATGGCTTTTCTGTATTTTATTGTGAGGAAATATTTAATGCTTTCTCAAAAATGACTGGGTCCTTCCTTCCTTCCTTCCTTCCTTCCTTCCTTCCTTCCTTCCTTCCTTCCTTGTGAAATAGACTAAATATAAGTAAATTTATTCCAGGACAGCATCAAAATGTAGAGCACCCTGTAGTTTGTCAAAGGATATCATCATCTAACGCAAACTCAGATGTACTTCAGCTTTGATTAAACTGTATCTTAAAAAAACAAATAAACACACACACACAAAAAAAATTCCAAAAACCAAAGCAATCAGCTATCTTTGTACCTAATTGAATATGCTTTAGTGCTCCCACTGTCTGTTACAGCCATTGCATTACTCTTTCTAGAGTGGGGGATATTAAAAACTATTGTGCAATGGATATTAATGCAGAGTCTTGACAGACTTGAGAAAATCAGTTTGCTTTTATGGCTGCTTCTCCACGCTGCTCTCCATTTCCTTTCCTCTAGAGAGTCCAAATCCAATTAAATGTGACTAGATGTAATTCCAAATTGTCACTTTAGTCAATTAAACATATAATAATCTTGTGTACCTAATTACCAGCACCGAAAGTTTATTTGTTGATGTAGTGCTATCAATGTGTGCTTCTGCATGTTCCCCTTATCATTGCCTATATATTAATTGTGCTCTGACATTACTGTAAATTGAATTTGAAATTTCCCCCTAGTTAAAAGTGTCTTACAAATAGTAATCCCAATCCTGTTGTAATACCCTTTCAGAGTGCATTTTCCAAGGCTGTATTATGTTCTTAATGAGATATAACCAAAAATACAAGGATTTAACAATAAACATTTCAAGCAGGCCCAGTATCAGGGGGTAACATATTGTTACAAACAGGAACTAAATCTGCCCTTAGATGTTTGCATACAGATCCCATTAATTTCACCGGGAGAAAAGGAATTCAATAGGACCATGGTTTTCTGCATAAGGACAGGGTTTAGCCCTAAGCTTTATCCAACTCTCATTCAGTACGTTGGCAAAAATCCTCTTGACTGCACTAGAACAAAGAGCAGTTTCTAATTCAACATTTTCAGCCCAGCTGATAGAGGATGAACAAAGGATGAAATCCTCATTGGCAGAACTCTTGTTGACTCCAAACGGTGCCAGGACTTAATCCTAAAAAATGACAGAAGTAGCAAGTATGGATGAAACAGAGGAGGTCTCCAACACTACCTGCTTGACACTAAGAGGACCACTCTTAGTTGTGAGATGTTCGCTGTGTCTGGAACCCAAAACATAAATAAGAACGTGGCATAAAAGTAGGAGAAGACTTCAATTAAATTTGTCACATTATTCTGTATTATTGTGTGTCTGGTCTCATAGAGGATGCCTACAAAACTTTCAGCTCCTTTGACCATGGCAATAACTGGTTCTGAAGTCACTAGTCATGGCTATGAGTGATAGTGCCCTCCTGCGGCCAGTTTATAAGAAAGAGATTATTAATCCGAGATTAGAGCAATTCTCAAGTATTGAAGCCTGATATTTTTGGAGGCAAAGGATAATTTCAAGTCGTCATTCACAATTTGTTATATAGATTTAATGCCCCTAAACTGCTGCTATTTCAAAGCTTAAATATGGCTAGTCCTTAACCCCAAGTGCCCCCCTGTCCTTGTCCCATAATGTCCGTTACTGTGGGATGGTGTTGGAGCAGTGCTGCTATGGGGAGAATGCAGTCAGTGGGATGTAGAGACACAAGCCACTTGCTCTGTCATCCCTGCTGCAGGCCATGGTCCATCATCTGCTGAAATGAGGATCCGTCCTGCTGGTGGCACAGCGTGACATTCAGCTTGTGACCTCTCCTTGCTTTCCATTTTCTTCACATCGCTTTGAGAGAAGGAGACGCGTAGAGCCCTGGACAAACCCGGAATCAATTCCTAGACAAGTCGCTTCATCTTTTGCCTTTTCCTAGCATCAACTGGAAAATGAGGGCAATCATATTCGACTGATTTACCTATTTGGTGTGTGAATCCTCCTGGCACAAACTCTCTTTTACTAATTCTTAGCAGAGCGCTCAGCACAATGGCACTCTGATCATGACATAGTCTCTAGGTACCACGGCACTTCAGACAAACTCCTTTCCGCTTTATTCTTCCTTCTTAATTTGTTCTTATTTAAATAATCAGACTCCCAGTTATATTTTAAGCACATGTGCTTAGTTTTTCAATGTCTGCTTTTGTCCCTGCTTAGATTTCTCTTGTACCATTTTGCAGTATCATGAACAGCAAGGCAAGAATGTGAAACCTGCCAGAGCCTTTAAGAGTCCCTCCAACCTTGTTTTCCTTTTCACTTTCTTGGTCATCAGGGAACTCATATAGGTCAGAGCTGATGCTTCCTACTGTGACCTTGTGTCTTATGTGAGACTTAAAAATTTCACTTTCAAAATATGCATGGGCATTAAAGCTATATGTAGATGGTCTATATCTGAATGCAGTTGTTGGTTGGGCTACTCAAAAGTATTTAGGGACCTAAACATCCAGGCAGGAACCAAAGGACCCATTGAGATATCGAGGCAAATTAAAAGCAAATTGAAATACATGAAGGCACAAAGCAATGAGTCAGATCCCTAAGTCCCTGTGAGTACCTATCACGTCTAAACATCCCAGAGAATGTGGCCTTTAGAAATCTAAGTAACAATGACTTTCAGTTAGAGACTTGTGAGCCCATGAGGCTCTCTGAAAACAGAACTTAGATAAAATATTATTTAAGAAAATATTGTTTATGAAATTATTATTTAAGATTCTCAGCCCGTGACCGAACTCATTTACATCTTTTTGTTTCTCTCTCATTAGAGTGAATTAGAGCCTATGATCTCGTGCATATATCTCAAGATACCACACTTGCTTTTACCTCTTCTTTAAGGCTTCACGTCTAAAGGCATTGCAGCAAAGCTGACAATCCTTCCTTCGGGAATAAGGCTGTCGGGAGATTTACTTCTCTATTTGGAGGCGCCTTCTCTATTTTAGAACAAAAAGATTTGGGATAACACTTTGCACTATAAAATGCAATGCTTGTGTTTTCTTTGGTAAAAGAAAACACACACAAAAAAAAGAGTAAACAGAAGAGTAATATGTTTTTCCAAAATTAATGAAAAAAAAAAAAAAAGGCATCCATGGGGTATATGGAACAGCAAGGAGGGGCTTTCAAGACAACTCCCAGAGGATTTGCTCAGCACTTTGATTTTTCAGGATATGAGGTGTTAAATTCAAATGATTTTTACTAGTAGGGCTGGAGGGGACTTGCACAATGTAGCCAAACTCATCTGTGTGACCGGAGTAAGCCTTGATCTTGCAATAAAGTGGCTTGCAATATCTGCTCACCGGCCACTTGGTGGTGTAGGACAATAAGATATATTTATTCACATGTAAACCGAGAAATGCATCTCAAATCCTGAACTCTGTGTTCCTCAGCTCAGCTGCGGAAATTTATAGGACTGGCAATAAAAGAGTCAGAGGGGGCTTTTGCTGTGCAGCAGCTGCTGACACCTACAGCAAGCACTCAGCAGAGTGCATCACAACCAAGAGGCAGCATGAGAAACGTGCTGCATTTTCTGCAATACACCCAAGCACCATAATAGTATTAGTGCTAAAGAGCTCTGTTTTCAATTTTCATTGCAAATGCTGCAAAATAGGAAGGTAAGACTCAAGACTAGCTGCTCAGGTCCCCTTCAGCAGCACAAAGAAGAAGGAAACCCCGGGGAAGAGGAGTATTCCCATACAGACAACAGAGCCTTAGGAGAAATCACAGCCTTTACACATTAGAGAAACTTTCTCTGCTAACCAACCCCACTTGCTGCTCAGATAAGGAGGCTGATAAGTGAAATAAAATTACCTATGCTCCCTGCTTCAAGTGATCCCACCTGGATCTGCAGTAAGAGATAGTAATAAAAAGCCTCAGACAGGGCTAGGGACCCTTTGCAATGTGCAGGCCTGCAGTGCTGGAAGGGTAAGTGTGCTCCTGGATTTTTTTTTTGTTTAAAGAGTTGGCAGGAAATTTAATATTCCTATTCAAGTTTTTTTCTAATGTAGGTGACTGGATATTTTGAGACCCTTTGTGGTTTCTAGCTTCCTTTTCCAGCATCATAATACTGTGATAGAAGATATAAAAGAAACCAATTCTCTCTTTTATGTGACCTTTCTTATTTTCTTTAGAGGTTAGAAGAGGATATTTGTAAGTGGAATAAGTAGGAAGCAGTCATTTTCCAAGTGATTACTCCCTTTCAAAAGTGGACAAAGTAACAGCACTTCATTTCTAGATATTTTTCCATATACTTTAAATAAATGCAGGATTTACTATATTGAGACATCTAAAAATCGGACAATGAAGGACTAAATGTAAGTCTGGGAATACTGAGCATCAATGAAGTTACCAAAGGCAGGTTTTCCTCTTGGGTAGACTAGCCCCCAAATGTGGGCAAAGATATTGTGGCAACCCCTTATCTCTTGTCTGTGTGTGATACCTAATTGCTGCAGAGGACTGAACTCCCCTTGGAACACTGGTGAGCTCTAATGTATTACAAAGGTATAGAAAAGCTCTTGTCTGCTGTCCAGGCCTGTGATGGGGTAGGCTTGCTGTCCTTGAAATTGCTTTTTCTGGGTCATTAACCCACTGTTTCCTGCAAAGAAGATGGCATCTGTGTTTAATATATGCCTCTTATATAGAAGGCTTCTCTCATTTTAAAGCATTTGTCCTGTGGTTGTAGGTAGGTACCTGCTTTGTGCGCCTCACTGAGAGTGGCTGTAAGATGCTAAAAAGATTCCCCATCCAATGGCAACTCCCACGTAGATAAAAATTCTTTGCAAACATGAGCAGAAGGGCAAGGAAAGCTTTTAAAATGATGGGAACTGCTTGTTGATATTACCCTGCTCTGATGTATGGAGTGCTCCCTTCATTCTCTGCCGCTGGGAAAGCAGCACTTGCCCTGCCTCTGGACTGGGACCGTAGTGGTTGGGATCCCCAGGTGGGAGCAGGGAAACAGCCCTACTTCTGAAGTCCCTCCTGGTGGTGCTGGTCCAAGGGGCATGTAAAATATCTTGCAGTGTTTAGAGGGGTTCTGTTTCCATGGCAACTGTTTTTTTCTCTTTTCCCTTTCAGTGTCATTTAGGAAAACTGAAACAATTAGGACACTAAAATTCTTTTCTGAGAGGAAACCCCAGACAGGCTTCCAAGGCAGGTTGCACTGGTGCAAGTATGTAAAAAAAAGCCTCAACTGGTGACTTTGAGCTGGTATTTCCTCTCCAACCCAGCATTTTTATCTCTTTCCATTAAGAAACTGTATGCTTTTCTATAATTTTAAATAAACTTAAGCTATTCACCTAGCTCTTGCCCCCTGCAGCTTCAATTCTGAGTCTCTAGCTAAAATATGACACAGATATGGAATTTGTAGAGAGGGCAGTGGTTTGGTTCTTGCAGAGCCAACTTGATGTGCAGTGAACGGGATTATCTAGTGCTTGCTGCTCCTCATCCCTTCCTGTTTGTTAATAGGGATCTCAAAAAGCTGAGTCAGCCCTTCTGGAGCTATTAAGATCCTACGGCTCCCTCCTCCTCCAGGTCTGCTTGCCCCAGTCTGCAGTCAGATGAGTATGAGCTGGTGGTGCTGGCGGAGGCGCTGGCAGCCTGTTCCCCCTACGTGCACACAGTTGGCTTCCAGCCTCTCCTGTTCTTGCTCGTGACAAAAGAGCTATCTTGAGCGTTGCACGGCACATGGTGACACTGTGAAGTCGGCACTGTGTTTTGGTTAGCAGGGGATGAGAGCTCTATCACTTAATGATTAAAAGAGGCACTTTAGAGGTGCTCTAAACTCCAGTTTTGAACTAAATAGGAACTCAGCTTTTTCTATAAGTTACTAGTTTTCACTTTGTGATTCAAGGTTCCTCCAATATCAGCAGACTGTTGGGTTAAGGAAGAAAAATGTCTTTTATGCTTTGTTGCTCATGGGATCAGACCTTGTCATGCTCTGGGGTCCTGGCCCGCTGGGTGTGAGGACTCTGGCTCCAGGTGAATCCTTGCTCTGGAGCTGCCAGGATCTCCCTTAGGGTACAGGTGCCCTCTCTAACATGCTGGTCCATGGTTCAGCAGCCTTGTCCTTGGGCAGCTGGACCTTCACGTAGCTGATGTATGCCCTTGCATGTATGCATCCTATACTGTCCCTGCAGTGTCAGGAGCAGTCCTTATGTTCCCAGGAAGGTGTGGTGCCCTTGGGCCTCCTCCAAGAGCATTTTCTCTTCTTGATAGAACTGGTTCCAGGACCCTTTCCTAAGTTTTCAGAGCTGCTTATCAAGCAATCTCTTGATCAGCTGTGACCAGGTCTCCTATATCAAGATGCTTTTAGTGACTGTTATTGTACACTGATCCCAAGCCTCATTCTTCTGGAAAACTCCCATGTAACTCCGAGGCTGAATTTATGTATAATGTGTTTATGCCCATTTGTTCAAGGGCTAAGGTGTTCTTTCAACTGAAATAGGTTTTCTCCCTTCTGAGGTTTAAATCTTGATCGTGTTTTGTCAAGAGCATCCTCCTAACTTTGGAGATGGTGAGAGAGGAGAAATATATTTACTCGCTGACATTGTAGTGAAAGTGCTTGTGGCATTTTAGAATTCATCACCTGCAGATGCTCTGACCCCTTCGGTGGCACCTTGAGGATTGCTTTACAATGGGAAATGGCCTTTGGCTGTACTTTACATGGTGGCAGCTGATCGTAGTGCTACCCCATGAGAATCATTCTGCAGCTGATGAAAACTGGAAGCAATGCAAATATGGGTATATTGGGCCAACAAGTATTAGCGAAAATTGCACATAAACTTGAAAATGCTTATATTTGACTATTTTCTGCTTTACTCCTTAATTTTAGAACTGGAACTAGAATTTATTGGAAAGAATTTGGTGTATTGTGTCCTTGGGGCAGGGGGAAATCATGTGAGATCCCAACTTGACAGAGAGCCAATTTAAATTTGCTTATCCATCCTGCTTGTCCCAAGCAGTATTGCTAACAGCCAAACTCCTGTTCAGATTCAGTGTTCTAGCATACAATTAGCATACAATGTAATATGTTTAAACAATGCATGGTAGGGGAGGAAGGTGAGGGTTACTTTAAAAGTAGATAGAGATGTACAGTGATTTTCTGCATTAGGCAAGCAGAAGTAAATGATAGCTCAAACTACTAAGCTTATTAGAAAACCATGACCAAATGCCTGGATGGTGCAGTCTGTAACAGGTAGAGAACACTTGTGTCACTAATGGAGCTTGACCAAGAGCAAGGACTCCAACGAGGTGACAGAAGTGGTGCAGAGCTTTGTTTAACGCAATCCGCTGTGAAAGCTCTGTGCAGTTGTTAACATGGTTAAACTAGGCTGAACTGAGTCCTGCTGGTGTCACTGGCTTTGGAACCACCTTGAGTTCAGTCTGTCCAAATATTCCTCTCCATCTGAAGTCATACAGTCACACAAAAGGTTCTGAGCTATTCCCTCTTACCTCCTGATGTAGTGAACCCGCTGATTGTGTATCTGCAATTCCACCAATGTCTGTCTTATGATTTCAGAATTAGTATTTATGAATATTTTCCTGGTTAATACTGTCTTCTCAAATTTGGGCAATTATATGTTGCCCCTTAGGAATTATTAGTTCTTGGAGGTATGTGTGGGTCTTTATTTTGTTCATCTTCAGTTTAACTTCAAGGGGAAAAAAGGTATTTTTTCTTACATTTCACCTCTTGGTGAGGAGCTAGTGCCTTGTGGGTTTGAAATTACTATATTGGACATCTATCAGAGCCACATATTCTCCTAAAACAGCTTTAAAATATCTGCCTGCTTTGTGGACCTCAGCTGTTGGTGATCCAGTAGGTAACAACTTCTTTCTGCCCCAAATTTTTGGGGGATTTTTTTGGATTCAGAAATGTTACCAGTGACATATAAAAGCCGGCTTCTGTGATTAGGGCTGTCTGACACTTGCTTTATATATATATATATATATATAAAATTTTCTATATAATGTTGGTGAAATGGAGTTCTGAAGGATCTGTCCATTCAGATTAGGCAAGGGAATTGCTTCAGGGGTTTTGAACAACACTTTTCAATTTCTCAGTTTGAAACAGCTCTTTTCTGAGAAGTGAGATACATTCAAAAAAAAAAAATGTTTACACTCAAATGAAATATTCTAGGTTTATCTGAATTCATATTTTTAACTTGGAAAAATGTTTGATTTCTTCTCCCCCTTCTTGACTTCTACAACTCTAGTGGGTAGACACTAAAATTGTTGCCAAAGCTATGCCTGATAGAAGCAAGTGTTCATCCAGGGTGTTTTCGACTGAAATTCAACCCAGAAAAAGGGAGACCATCTTTCTGAATGCTCTCTGCAGCTCTGCTTGGAAAATGCTTTCTTCTTCCCTCCTATACAAAATGTGTTGTTACAATTTTAATACCTGTAGAGCTCTACCACTAGCATCCATCTTAAATGATGGACAAAGTGACCTTTTCAGTCTCTTGCCTAATTCACGCTGACTGGTCTGCCATTAGTTAGCTAATGATTTGTGAAATATTTTTGTGCTATACCTTGTGGTCCTCAGCTGAACAGTCATCTATAAGTGCCTAGTATTATTAGTACTGATGATCCATAAGAAGTTATCACTATATTTTGCCATGCACACCCTTCAATTTAAGCATGTTCTGTGGTTAAGAAGTGATGGTGCCTGTTGAGGTTTTGGGTCTTTGGGGCAGTGGGACCCAACCAGGACACAGCTCTGCCCCTGACAACTGAGTGTTACATGTATTAGGCTAATTGTAGCCACTAATTATAGACTGAAGGGGTTGGAGTTCTACTGTGTGTGATATTATATATGCAAAGTCAATATTTCAACTTTCTTTGAAAAAATGGATATAGGATGATATTATAGACAGTTGAAAGCTGTAGAGACATGATTAGAAATCTAAATCTATTAATACCAGAGTACCTTGCTGCTTCTGAGTATCTTTCTAAACACCTGAACACAGCAGCTTGACGCAGGTGATTCCGGAAATAAGCTGGGTTCAGAGTAATGCTCCTTTAAAAGATAAGATAAAATTTAAGTTCTCACTTCATTAGAAAACCATTAGAATTAAACTAACATGTATGTTGTATGCACTTGTTCTACACAATTTAACAGATTCATTGTATACCCTGATGTAATATGAATTATCACTTTTCCCTTGATATCTGAGATGCATGAACAAGAATTATTAAAATACTTATTTTGAAATTATACCATAAAGGCAGTTTATATATAGTTCTGTGTATGGTTTCAGAAATGCCCATTAAAAGCTCTAGTTTTAATATGCTATATTGCCCCTAGTTTGCACATACCATATACAAAAAATGCTCCTGTGCTACTTGTTAACCCCTAGCTCTGAAACCATAACTGGCACTTGCCTTGCACAGTGCTTCTAGGTAATGATGTATCTAGAATGCATTTTAACATTAACTTGGACTGCCTTAAAATGCTTATATAATAAGTTATTGACTCTGTGGTAGACCTTGGTATGCTTCTTAGGCACTTAAAACCTTGATACCTTGATTGCATTTGTTAAAGTTAAGTTGATATCTGGAAAAATATGCCAAGTTTCACGTTCATCAGTACATACACATTTTAAAAATATTTAGTAGCACTTTACCACATCAATGAAGGGTCTAACATTTTGGATTCTATTGCAGAGAAACCTTATCAACTGTTTTTATTTTGCTTCCTCAGTGCAAGTTTTGTATATCGTGTTAGGATTAACTGCTCCTATATTTCCAGATTGCAGTATTAGTGTCTTCAATAGCCAAATCATTTACTGAAGTTTATTAATAGTTTTGAAACTGTGATATAAATACAGATGAAAGCACAGAGACTGTTCCATCTATAGAAACAGATTTATACAATCAGCCTATGCTTTTTGGAAGGCCATTAGCTGTCTTCGTGTTATGCACTTGTAGATTACATATGTGACCTCCAGAAGAAGCCTTAGGACTAACAGATAAAACCAAGAAATATTTTCAACATGCTGTGGACACATGAATCAATCATGCTCTTTCTCCAAGGCATGCAAAAGGACTAGCCTCTGAATAGTTGTCTACAATAGTGAATAGTTTGATGTCCAAATGGATCACCAGACCAAAGAAGCTGATGTTTAGACCTCTACATCTATATCATAGGCAATTTGGGCTTCTGACTTGTGCTTTTGGACTAGTCTGATCCTTTGGACCAGGTGTCTTTATGCATATTACTCAAAGCTGTCTTGAGGACCAGTTGTTGGTTTAGATTCCCCTTGTCTTTATCAGGTGAGGTGGATTGGGCAGGTAGTTTTCTCTGAAATCCATCCAGTTTGAGTGCCAAAATAGATCTGGCACAATAAAACATTATGCTGTAGGAGCAGAACTGTTCTGTGCTGGGAGCTCAGCTCTATTGATAATTGTTTTAGGAAGGTCCAGGAACTAAGAATTGTCAGAAAACTATGCTTTTCCATGCCAACACCTGAAAAATGCTCAGAAACAGAACTGTATTTAAATAAAGCATTATCCTGCATGAGCTGTCTTTCTGGAAAGAGAATGTAGGGGAGGAGGACAAATTAAGCTACAGGATCATCATTTGTAGGTATTACTGGAGGAATCGGACCTCAGCGATGGGAGATGCTGAATTAAAATTCAACATACAAATCAGTATCAGATGTTAACCTCTAGCTGCTGTTAATGGAGGTAGAGAGGGGACCAATTACTCTTACTGGTAGCAAAAAGATAATGCCAACAGCAAACATTGCAGTTCTCGGCCAAATGTGGCTCAGATTTGAAGTTCAAACAATACTGGTGGCCACAGAAATGTAATCTGGCCAAAAGGAAATCATCAAAAGATCAAATACTGTCAGCATTTAATGATTTGACCAAGGCATTAATACTGTACTTGAATGTCAACTGATACTTCTGCAAAGCGTTTTAAAGGAGATTATTGCTGCTCTAAACTGTAGTCAACAGTTGATAATAGTATTATTGATTCTTTTTATTTATTTATTTTTCCTCTCCTTCCTGAAGTTATTGGCTCTACCACAGTCAAGCAATATCACTGTGAAGGGGGGAAAAAAATTAAAAAATCAATAATTCCCTGGGACTTAGCAACACATTTTCTGTAAGTCTTAGAGCAGGATGTGCTGTGATAGGTTTATAATAAATACAGGACTGTAGCTGATTTTCAAAGCATTAGATATCAGCTCTCCACTTGTCACCTTGATTCCTTAGTAGCTTTAAAAAGATCAACTCCTTCTCTCAATCTATAAATTCCATACAGGGGGAAAAAAAGAATTCCCTAATACTTTGAAGATCTCCTGTCATGAGTAAACAGGAGAAAGCTGCTTCTGACTACCTGCCAGTCTGGTTTAATGTTGTTGGCTCTCTGTAGTCTATACCTTAGGAAAAAAAAAATGCTACTACGCACTAGTTTATCCATAAGTAGTTCCAGTTTAGTAGGCTTAATGAAGAATGACATTAACTTATGTCTTGTGCCCACTGAGACTCTGCAGAGCTTTTTCCTTTGGGTTTTATGCCCTCTCCTGACCTTTGGTGAAAAGGAAAAGACTAGAAATAGCAGAAGCAAAGGAATGATTCAAGCAGAGGCAAGGAAGAGAGACCCTAATTCCAGGCAGCAATCCCTGAAACAAGAGCGGATGGAGGTCTCATCTGGCCAAGCAAGAAGTGGGCATTGAGAGCAATATCCCCTGCTCAATGATCCACCTGCAGCCATGGGGCAGTCCTGAAGCAGAGCTGGTTCCTCCCAGGACTGGGGAGGGATGTGTCTCAAGATGCTTTGAGATAGCAAGTGGGGAAAGCAGTGGTGCACTGGCTAAAACCTGGGCAGGACAAACTCAGTGCATGGTGACCTCCGTCCTGAGGTGGAAAGTGTTTCCTTTATCTTCTTACTCATCTGCTTCTTGTGGGAGTCCCAGGCAGGTAAAGGAGTTTTGACAGAAAACATCTGAAAATGGATCTCTTATTTTGCACAGAGCAAACTTCTAATCCACAAAGCTGCAAATAAAGTTGCTTCATCCAAAGATTAAAACTTGTGTTCTTGCCAGGTTTTGCCCTCATCTGTCAAATGACTAGGCTAAAGTAAATGTGAAATAGATTTTCATTTATTTTTCATCTTCAGTGTAATCCAAAGACTGCCCTGTTAAAAGCCTTTTGTAAATCATTTGGTCAGTTTTTCTCAACAAAACAGTCCTTAAGTAATACTGTATCAGCTGCTTTTTTGACATTTTCATTTTTTCATCTTGACATTTTATCTTAAAAATAATACAGTGTTTGTCCTGCTATCTTCAAAGTCTGAGGAAAGGGGAGGAAGGTATCACTGCTGTTCCTATCACAGAAATTAGAGTATGTGAGTATGCGAGTCAAATGCATGCCTTACGCTTCTCTTGTCATTTTTTTTTCAATCTTAGTGTCCACTATTAAGAAAACAGGTTTAGGAGGAAACTTGGATTGCCAGATAGAAACTGGAAGCTGGAAATCCTGCTGCCTTTTCTCTATGATGTCTCTCCTTCTGAAGTTCTTCCCAAATGCAACAGGGATTTAATTCCACTCTTCTGGCTGAAAAAGTGCCTTGGCAGTTCTTCAGTGTGTCACTCTGGTTTGGTCTTTAGAGGCCAAGAAAAAAGTCAATGAGATGATTCTATACATGAAACAAGTGGAGGAAAAAAGTATGCTTCACTAATAAGAGCTGAGTGCTTGTTTTGTTAGTTCTGCAAGTAAAAGCTAGCTTGTTCTTGGAGGTAAGTGTGGTTATTGCCTTAGTTGCAGGGACAGAAGCTGTTTCTCTACCCCAGCTGTCCATTACTGTATAACAACCTTTTGGGCAAACATATTTTAATGGTCAATTATAATTGACTATCAGGAAGGAATTCGGTGATTTCTTGGAAGCAACGAAAGCAGTGCTGCTGTGATGTGTGTGCATGCCCTGGCTGTGGATTGCCCTGTCTGCATGGCACAGGACGACCGTACAAGTGTAGCTACTGGAGTGCTCCTCACCACAACATTAAATACCACGTCAGCGCAAGTAATGTGTCAGCTAATGCTCAGCAGATGCAGCTGTAACAGCGAACTGCTGTAAACTGATCCAATGCTTTTATCTTCAGGGAGAGCTGTCAATCAGTACGGCTGGTGATGCAGACCTATCTACGCTCAGATGAACCTGGCAAATCCTTGTTGCTGTGTGGCTAGGTTTAACCTCAGCTTCCCTTTTCTTCCCTGTTTCATCTGTATGGCAGGTAGCTTATTATCTGGAGTTGTAGTGCTATTCTTACATCTGCTTGACTCTATCATGACCTGTTCTTAGTCCCAAGGGCTGTATCACCAGCTGGTTTAGGAGAGCACAGCTCTACTAAAGGTGGTTGAACTCCTCCTGAACCTCATGGGGCCAGCAATCCACTTGCTGTATTTTCTAGCAATTTGTGTGTGCAGCTACGTTATGGTTCTGGAGGTCTTGTTTGGCCAGTATATGGTGGTGTTTCCTTGTGGGCAACTTGATGTTCTTGCTTATTTGCCATACATGAAAGTTTAGTGAAGAGGCCATCCTGAAGAGGAAAAAATACTCCATTGGAACAAATTGTTTGATATATTTGGTGGGGCTGTTAAACACATGTTCAGAAGCACATTCTTCCAGCAGGCAAGAGTGTGGTGGCTTTAATGCTGGCTCACATCTGTGGTGAGAACAACCATGTGAAGGAAGGTGTGAGGGAGGTAGAGCCCTTCTCCCAAGTTTGTTCCATCTCTTAGTGGCCAAACTTTAAAGATTTGGATCCTGTTGGTTCCCTGTGGAAACTTTTCTGTCACATTGATGCCTGGCTATGACTTGTACCCCTTCTCGTACTTCTTTCCCAAGAGAAAGAGCCTCCTTTCCTCCAGAGAGTCCTCCTGACCAGATTGCTCTCATTTGGAGAGGTGACATGGAAAAGCAGGTGAAGTCTGTTGTGTAGAGAGGAAAAGAAGCTGGAGGGCAAACAGCCCAGCACTGCTCAGGGGATGTAACTATGGCAGCAGCCA